CCGGGACGTCTGCGCGGCCCAGCGGGAGCCTTTTGTAGACGCCGCTGCTTGCGGCGGGCGCCGTGTCTGGGGCCGTGCGTGCGAGGGCGGCGATGGGGAGACCGTCTCAGGGACGCGTTTGCCGGGTCGAGGGAAGCGTCGCTGGATGCCGCCCCGACACCCTGCAAACGACTGCGCCAGCAGCGGAGAAGCAAGCGCGTGACTCGGTTTCTCTTAGAATCAGACCCGCGGCGTAGAGGGGCGGAGAGAGCACGGGCTTCGGAGCCTGACAGGCCCGCGTCTGGGGCGGCAGCTCCGCCTGTCGCCCGCTGGCTTCGTGACGTGGTCAAGGCCTTCGAGGCTTCGGTTTTCCCATCTGTAGAATAGGTTGAACGGTCCCTGCTCCCTGGCTCCGGTGAGGGAAAGTGGAAAGGGCTTGGCAGGCGCCCCGGGGTCACTGGGGGCTTTTGTTCGGTCGTCGGTGTTATCTGGTGACGTCCGGGGGGGGCCACCGGGGTCACCAAGACCAGCGAGGAAAGGACAGAGGGAAGCTGCCCCTTCTTAGGGGGGTGTCGGGGGAGGATTTATCTCATGGATTGGTCCGGAGTGGCGTGAGAACTCACCAGCACCCCAGCGGGGTCCCTTGGTCTGTTCGTTCATGTAGCAGGTTTTTATTGAGCCGCTACTACGTGCCCGGCGCTGTTCCAGGTGCCGGGAACGAGACGGAGGCCTCGTTCTGGAGAGCTTTCCGGAGCAGCGTGCTGGGCAACAGCTGTTATTCTCGTTTCACAAAAGAGGAAACTGAGGCACAGGGTCACACGTCAGCCCCTGCCCCTCCTGCTTGGGAGAGGCCTTTGGACACGGAGCGGCTCCCGCTGGAAGGGAGCCCCGATGCTCCCGGGCCCGTCCGCGCGGCCAGCAGCCCGGAGACGGGACGGCAGGGCCGGCGGGAGCTCGAGTTTCGATTCCAGACACGCCGGCCCCACCCTGTGGCCCCGGGCACGCCTGGTGGCTGTCCCGTCCCGGTAGCGCTCGAAACCAACCACCTCCCTCCTCCGAGATGGGTAGCGGGGGGTAGAGGAGGAAGCCAGCACTGCTTAAGCACCAGCTGTGTGCCGGAAGCTTCCGCGGGCATCTATCTGAATGCCACGAAAGCCGCGGCCGCCGAGGTTCGTCCGGGACTCGCTGCGGCCCGGACTCTGCGTGTCGGGCCCGGCGGGGCCCACGTTTCACTGAGAGACGCGGACAGCAGCGCGCGAGGGTGGATAAAATGAAGGAGGCACGGAACAGACCGTGCTGGGGGAGAGCAGTCGCCCCGTTGTACAGATGAGGAGACTGAGGTCCGGGAGAGTCTGGTGACTTGCCCGGAGTCAGCAGTTGTATCCACAGTGGGGCTGAGATCTGAAGCCAGCGTTTGGCCCACGGTGGGCACAGAGGAGGGCTCCGCTGAGGCCCCGACGGGGACTCCGTACCCATTTTACAGATGAGGAAACTGAGGCTAACTTGGCTGAGGCCAGGCTCAGTTGAACCCGGGTTTGCCGGACTGAATTCATTCCCTTCCCGACTTCCCGATAACTCTGTCCCCAGACGATCGGGAAGGCAAGACGGCCGGTGCCGACGCAGCGGCTGAGGCGGGATTCGAACCCGGGGCTGTCGGAGCCCAGGCCTCGGCCCCCCCTGCCCGGGGCGCGGCGCCCCCCCCTGACGTCTCGCTCTGTGTTTGCCCGAAGGCGCAACGTCCTGAGCCTGTCCCCCGGCATCGACCACCCGGGCGCGCTGAAGTGGGACCTCGCGCTCTGCCTGCTTCTGGTCTGGGTGATCTGCTTCTTCTGCATCTGGAAGGGCGTCAGGTCCACGGGGAAGGTGAGTGGAGCTTCTGTCCCTGCCCTGCGTCCCGCGGGGCCGCGTGGAGGCTCCGGGCCGGCCCGGGCCTTCCTGCCCACGACGAGCCCAGGTCTGGGAGGGAGGTAGCCGGGGGGGTGTTTGTAGCACGTGCCCGGGTCACGGTGCCGATGGTTTAACCACCGGCTCGCTCTCTCCAGCCACCGCTGGTTTCCGAGGCGTTGGCAGGTGAGGCAGATAACCAGTGTGGAGTCGTAACTGGTAAGTTAGCTGGTAACAGGAGGTTAGCTGGCAACCGTGGTTGTATTTTTTTATTTTTATTATTTTTGGGACAGAGTCTCGCTCTGTCGCCCGGGCTAGAGTGCCGTGGCGTCAGCCTCGCTCACAGCAACCTCCAACTCCTGGGCTCAAGCGATCCTCCTGCCTCAGCCTCCCGAGTACCTGGGACTACAGGCTCACAATAGCAAGCGTGGCTGATTTTTTGTGTTTTATTTAGAGACGGGGTCTTGCTATGCTGCCCAGGCAGGTCTCGAACTCCCGACCTCAAGCGATCCTCCTGCCTTGGCCTCCTGGATAGCTGGGACTACAGGCATGGACCGCCGTGCCCGGCTAATTTTTTCTATATATTTTTAGTTGTCCAGCTCATTTCTTTCTGTTTTTAGTAGAGACAGGGTCTCGCTCTTGCTCAGGCTGGTCTCGAACTCCTGACCTTGAGCGAGCGATCCTCCCGCCTCGGCCTCCCCGAGTGCTGGGATCGCAGGCGTGAGCCACCGCGCCCGCTTGGCCGCAACTGTGTTGCTAATGACAAGCTGACGGCAGGACGGGCAACATCAGTAGCGCCCGGGGGCTTGTCAGATTTGCAGAATCAGAGGGAACAATAACCCCCGGATGGTCACAATGCGCATGGCGGCCTGAGAAGTACTTGGCTTGGGTTTCAGCTGCTAAATCGGCTGAACTGCATTGATTTACAACTGACATTTCGGCCCGTAACCCCGATGTCAGTTGTTCGGGCAGGTATTAGCTGATAATTAAATCATTCGCTCGTAGACAGAACGTTCGCTGTTAACCGAAGTAACAGCTGTAAGTGGAGTATTTGCGGCTGAATAACGCGTTACACAGTAACCAGGAGGTTAGCGATTAACAGACGTCGTGGCTAATAATTAAAATCGTTAGCTTGTCGTTAAGGTTTTAGGTGTGACTTATATGTTGGCAACAATGAAAACGTTAGTGGATAAGTCAAATGTTGCCTGTTACCAGTTAGAGCCGAATAATTAATTCCCTGATACTATTAATTAATAATAATTCCCTGACAACCAAGAACATGGGCCGATGTCGTGGTCGTTCTGATGGCAGAGGTCAGCGCAGGGACAGTCTGCTGTGGTCAGAGGCGTGAGCCTGGACCCAGGGCGCCGGGCCGCAGGTAACGAAGGTGTTGGCTCGTCTCGATGCGGGAAAATCTCCTGAAGCCAGAACCCTCCCCAGGGTCAAAAAAAGCGTCTCGAGGTGGCAGAAGGGAGTCTAGCAGGGAGTCCCCGTGGAGCTCAGCTGCTGGGCTCTGCTGGAGACGTGATCGTTTGCTCATGTGCCGGGCAAGTTAATTAACCTCTTCTCTGGACCTCAGTTTCCCCATCTGTGAAATGGGACTACCCACTGCACACGCGCACAAAAGATCGTGAGGATTAAATGAGCCACGCGGTGGTCAACAAAACAGGCAAAAATCTCTGTCGTTTGGGAGCCGACAGCCTGGCGGGACGAGTCAGAGTGGAACAAAGTGCAGGTGAAAAAGACAGAGGAGTCCGATGGTGACAGGCGCCACGGGGGGGGGGGCGACAGAACAGCAAAGGAGAGCGGGGGTGACGGATGGAGCGGTTTGAAGTAGGGTGGCCGGGCGAGGCTCACTGGGAAGGCGGGTTCGCAGCAGAGATGTGAAGGGCTGAGCCACGTGGCTCTCTGCAGGGAAAAAACTCCAAGCAGAAGAGAACAGCCAGTGCAAAGGCCCTGTGGCATGTCTGACCCGGACCCCCGGGGAGCCCCCAGGCCTGCTGTCTGCCCAGAGCAGCGGGCGACCTTTGAGACATGCGGAGTGTGCCGGACACTAGATCAGAGCCAAGTTGGAGGTGGCAGGCCCCGGCTGTGGCCGAGCAAAGACGTGACTTGCCGGAGGTCCCCGACCTCACCCTGGGTGACAACCTCCCCTGTGGGGCGGCTCCCAGAACAATAGCGGGGCCTGGGCCAGCGACAGAAGCCAGGACAAACAGAGGCTCTGCAGACTTCCTCCAGCGCCACCGCCAAGAGGCCGCCCGCCCGCCCGCCGGCCGAGGCTTCCAGCCCTGGCCCCGGTCCAGGCGGCGGCCGCCGCGGGGGCTGGGCTCACGGACAGCAGACAGGCCGTCGCTGGTCCAGCGGGAAGGAGCGGGCGGTGGGCGGGGGGAGGGCCCGGGCTTGGAGAGGCTCAGGAGCCGAGTTCGCGTCACCTGAGTTGCCGTCTATTAGCTCATTTAATCCTGACGATCTTCCGTGCTGATGTGCAGCGGGTAGTCCCATTTCACAGATGGGGAAACTGAGGTCCAGAGAGGTTCATTAACCTGCCCGACATCACACAGCTTGTCGGCGGCCAAGCCGGGATTTGGACCCGGGCAGCCCCGCTCCCGACCTGGGTGCCCCTCGGTCTTGCGCCTCCTACGGTCACCCCCGTGCTGGCCTGTCCCTGCCCCTCACAGAGCACGGGGTCCAGGAAGGGGCAGACGCAGACACACAGGAAGCTCAGCCCCGTGGACCCAGTGGGGAGTGAGGCTCCGGCAACGAGCGTGACGTCCCCTCTCTGGGCCTCAGTTTCCCCAGCTGGAAAATGCAGGTGATCGTACCTAGGACCCAGCTCTTCCCGGTTGTGAGGGTTAAATGAGATGCTGCTTATTGACCCCTTAGCAGACTGCTGGGCACACGCTCAAAGGCCCAGGTCCCCAGCACAAAGCCCTCTGGCCACGGGCTGGTCGCTTGGCCCGGGGACGCCCAGCTGGCTTTGAAGTGGCCGCCCTCTGGGGACCCTGCCGGGCCGCCGTCTGCGGCTATTGTTCAGCAGCTGGGGCGGGGTGGGCGCCTGTCTGCCGGGCAGTCCGTCCGTCTGTCTGTCTGCCCGTCCTCAGGAAGGGAGGTGCCGGCTGGCTTTCTTTTCTCGCTTCTTTCCCCGCTTCTCTGGCTTCCCGACGATGGGCCCCCGCCCAGCCGCCCCCCGTCCTTGGGAAGTGGTCGTGTAGATGGGGAAGCTGAGGCCAAGGTCGCCCGGGAGGAGCTGGCCAAGGCAGCAAGATCCCCATCCGGGCAGCCCCCCGCTGACCCGCCCTTGGCCTGGAGAACCAGAGGGGTCCAAGGCCGTCCGTTTGCAGCGGGGAAACGGAGTCCAGAGAGGGGCAGGGACGTGCCTGAGGCCAGTCGCTGAGGCCCCAGCCTCGGGGAGTCCAGCGCCTCTCTGGTCTCTGGCAGGATCAGTAAACTGTCGGCTGTGGGGGCTTTTCGCTGCTCCGCTGTGCCGGGCTCTGGGGCAAGTCCCCCCAATCTGCGGCTGAAGCTCTGTGTGACCCTGAGCAAGTGCCGGGCTCTCTCTGAGCAAATTTCACTGAGGCCCAGAGAGGTTAAGCAACCAGCCCAAGGCCACACAGCAAACGAGGGGACAGAGCTGGGATCGAAACCCGCACCGACCTGATTCTTAACCATAGGAATCTCACAGTTTCCTCGCTTTCCTCACTTCCAAAACGGAGATAGTCATAAAACTTCCCTCAGGGGGCCAGGGCGGGAACCAGCGGGCGTAGAAGTCACGATAAACGCAGGCTGCGGTTGCCGGGCTCGGGGCAGCTGGGTGAGGTTTGAGGTCTGTCACCGAATGTCAGTGTCTGTTACAACTGCCTGGGCCCCAGGAGTGCCCCGCGGCTCCCTGGCACCGCCCCCCGCCATGGGCACCTTCACCCCGTTCTGTGGGTCTCAGTTTCCTCATCTGTAAAATGGGTACATTGACCACACCCTGGCTCCTTCCGGGCCCCTGATCCTCGGAGGTGGTCGGGGGTGCTGCAAGCTTCTGCCTGTGCCCCCCGCTGGCAAAGTGATGTGGCTCACAGCTTCCCCCAGAGCGAGGGGGTTACCCGTGCGCAGGCTCTGGGTTCCAGTCCTGCGCTCTGCGGATGCCCGGGCGGGTCCTTCGGCCTCACTGAGCCTCCGCTGCAGACCCACGTTTTGGGGTGTGGCGTGGAGTGACCCAGGGAGGTGGAGCCTCTTCCCTGTTCCTGGCTGCGGGCCTCATTTCCCTGCCAGAAGTTTCCGTGTGGTGACGGCAAAACCACGGTGCCAATAACGAGACCCGTTTGTTGAGCACCTACTAAGTGCCGGGCGCTGTTTCGACAGCGTGACGAGCACGGTATCATCGAATCCTCACCTCACCCCTTGACGGGGGGCTTCTAGTACACGTCACCAAATTTCACTGAGGCCCAGAGAGGTTAAGCAACCAGCCCAAGGCCACACAGCAAACGAGGGGACAGAGCTGGGATTCGAACCCGCACCGACCTGATTCTTAACCATCCGAATCTCTCGGACTCAGCGGCGGCAGGTACCGCCCGTGGCCCGCCTGACCCCCTCTCGCCCGCGCAGGTCGTCTACTTCACGGCGACGTTCCCGTTCGCCATGCTGCTGGTGCTGCTGATCCGCGGGCTGACGCTGCCTGGCGCGGGCGAAGGCATCAAGTTCTACCTGTACCCTGACATCAGCCGCCTGGAGGACCCGCAGGTACCGTGGGGCCGGGACACGCAGGCCTCCGTCCCCCCGCCCGGGGCTTCCCCGCTGGGCTGGCGCGGGCGGCGCCAGGGAAGGGAGGGGGGGTCGCCTCCTGAGCCGGTCTGGCCCTCGGCCCCGGCCTCTGCCCGCAGCCGCCGGCGTTCCCGGCCGAGGCTGGACTTCCGAGTTAAGGGCCCCTTGGGAGGTCGAGGGGCAGATTCCGAAAGTCCACGTCCCGGAGCTCAGCCGTGCGGCCTCCGGGAGCCGGAGAAAACCTGGGGGGCCTTAGGGGCCCACCGGGGACCTTCTGTGCCCCGGATCTTCAGCCTCGTGCTTGCCGGAGTCTCTGTCCCCACCGTCCTCCCGGCCTGGACGGAGCAGGGGTGGGAGGGGAGGTGGCCGTCGGTGAAGGTTCCGGAGAGCACTTTCGCCTGTGCGTTCCCCTGGGGACTCCTCCCCATTCCCGCTCAGCGGGGCCCAGACAGTGACAGTCCCAGCGGTGGCAGCAGCCTCCGCTACATCTTCCTTCCTTGGACCCGAATGATAGCTCCGTGGGGCAGGGCGGGAGTGGACCCATTTTGCAGACGTGAAAACCGAGGCTCCAGGAAGGGTAGCTCCTTGCCCGGGATCACTCCGGGGCTGCAATCCGGATTCCTGTGCTTCAAAAGCCCAGCCTCCGGATTGTTTGAGGTCAGGAGTTCGAGACCAGCCTGAGCAAGAGCGAGACCCCGTCTCTGCTAAAAATAGAAAGAAATTAGCTGGACAACTAAAAATATATATAAGAAAAAAATTAGCCGTGCATGGTGGCTCACGCCTGTAGTCCCAGCTACTTGGGAGGCCGAGGCGGGTGGATTGCTCGAGGTCAGGAGTTCGAGACCAGCCTGAGCAAGAGCGAGACCCTGTCTCTACTAAAAATAGAAAGAAATTAGTTGGACAACTGAAAATATATAGAAAAAATTTGCCGGGCATGGTGGTGCATGCCTGTAGTCCCAGCTACTCGGGAGGCTGAGGCAGGAGGATCGCTTGAGCCCAGGAGTTGGAGGTTGCTGTGAGCGAGGCTGACGCCACGGCACTCACTCTAGCCTGGGCGACAGAGCCAGACTCTGTCTCAAAAAAAAAAAAAAAGCCCAGCCTCTTGACCCCGATAAGTGACGGGGTCAGCGGGGAGGGTGTCTGGTCGCCGGGGTTCGCTGCCGCCTCCTCCGAGAAGTCGGCCCTGATTGCCCTCTTCTCTCTCTCAATCTCTGTCTCTCCCCCCCGGCAGGTCTGGATCGACGCCGGGACCCAGATCTTCTTCTCCTACGCCATCTGCCTGGGCGCCATGACCTCGCTGGGGAGCTACAACAAGTACAAGTACAACTCGTACAGGCAAGTGTGGCGGCGGCGGCGGCGCGCGAGAGCGAGGCGAGGAGGGGCGCGGGGACCCCTCGTGCCGCGAGTTAACCTGCCCCCTGACGTGTGTGCCACCCAGGGTCTGTCTGCTGCTGGGATGCCTCAACAGCGGGACCAGCTTTGTGTCTGGCTTCGCGATCTTTTCCGTCCTGGGCTTCATGGCGCAAGAGCGAGGGGCGGACATTGCCGACGTGGCCGAGTCAGGTACGGTGGTCTCGGCGGCAGCGTGGCGGGCGCCTGCCTGGGGACCCCCGGAAGGAATCACAACCGGACGCATCCGGAGCCCCGGCCGGGGGGTTCTGGAAGCCGAGAATGATCCGGGCTCCCACTTGCCAGAATCCCAGGGTCTCCGGTGCTGAGGATCCGGGACCCGGCTGCGGCGGCCTGCGGTCCCGGGCCGGCGGGTTTAAAACTGGGGTGACTCGGATGACGGGGTCACCTTCGGCCCCGAGCGCCCCCAAAGCCCACCTTCCCGGCTTCATGCTCTTCCTGGGCCGTGCCCAGTTCACCTGGAGGGTGAATGTTTGCCGGGGCGGGTTGTGATTTTGCACACGGACCCGCTGGGCCGACACCTGCTGGAGGCAGCTGAGGGTCTTGGGTTGAGGCCCGTTTCAGGTGGAGGGAACGGTAGGGGGGTTGTGACTCCAGGGGCCACCCCAGGCCAGGGCTGGGCACGGCGGCCGTCCCGGCCGTCCCCACGCTCTTTGGACGGTGCAGCCACGTCCCAGCGGCCCAGGTCTAGACCGCGCGCCTGGGCCGGACAGAGAGCGCCTTGGCTTTGCGGGTCCAGAGACGTCCAGCTCGCAGGGGAGGAGGGCTCGGGCCGGCCTGGTGCTGGCCACGTCGGCCCATCCACGCCCCGGCCCCCCACACGCCTCCCCGACGCCCCCGTTCCCAACGTAGACCCCCGAACACGCCGGCTACGGCCCCCGACAGCGCCCCAGGCGGCCGGAGACCGAGGGCCGGGAGGACGAGCAAACTCGGCATCCGGAGGTGCAGACGGACACCTGCCTCCGTGCGCGACGCGGCGTTCTCAGACGCGCAAACGTCGTCCCCCGAAATCGCTCCTTCTGCCTCCACCCCCGAGATCTTGTCGTCTATTCCCACGGTGGTGTCTGAGCCGCCGGCGATAGACGGTGATTATTCCTCTAATGAGCTTTTAACAAGCACCGTGTCCAGGGACCTGCCTTCGAGCGGGATAATTATGTAGCTTAACGGGTCAAACAGGACGTAGCGCG